GCAAGTCCATCCCATCCTGAGAGCCCCAGGCCCGACTGTGACCTCTAAACAGATCCTCCTCTTCTCGGAGGCCTCCCTTTCCAAGCCTGCCTGGGCGAGTGTCCTGTGACTTGACAGTGGCTCCCCAGCCCCAAAGCCAGCCCCCTTCATGTGTGACTTAGTCTGTTGTAGTGCTGAGCTGACACATCCAGGTGTGACCATTGCTGAAAACTTGTGCCCCTTCTGTGGTATGCCTTGCCCTGTTCTATAAATATCTATAAATACTCTGTGGTATGCCCTGCCCTGTTCTATAAATAGCTATAAATACTCTGTGGTATGCCCTGCCCTGTTTTATAAAGAGCTATAAATACTCATATATATATATACACCCCTACACATGGCTGACCGCCTCGCCTCTAGTGCTGGGAATCAGTCACCGTGCTGTCCTTGTGGAATCTTGTGGCCCAACCAGAGAAAGCTCTCCCCTGACATTCCCCTCCAAATTGCACCACCTCCAGTGAGCCTCCCTGTCATGCGCAGCCTGTGAACAGCCAGCCTCCGCCATCCCTCCCACCCACCACCAAGCATGGGGGAGCTGTGCAGGCAGCCGTGTGGACTGAAAGTCTCTATCAGTCCTGCTGTCCCTCAGCTGAGAATCAAACCCATTTCTGGATGGCGAGGAATGTGTCCTCTGCTGGCTGTGTTCTCTGTGGAGCTCAGGGAGGGAAAAGGCCCAGCCATGTCTAGGGTGCTGTTGGGAGTGGTGAAAAGGTCACACCCTTTCCAAGGGACACTTTTCCGGGAAAGCCTCTGGAGCTTAGATGGCTCTTATGCTGTGAAGCTGGCTCTGGTCACTAGAGTGCAGGGCCATGAGCTCAGTCTGGAGGGAGCCCGTGGGGCAGCCAGCACTCTGGAGGGACAGATAGAACTGGTCACGAGGTGCACTGAGGGGCAGACAGAACAGGCCACCAGGTGCAGACAGGAGAGGGAGGCAGGGGGATGGAATGGAAGATGCCTGGGGTGGATGGAAGTCAGTGCCCTTGAGTGCTGGCATCTGCCTTCCCAGCCACCGGTAGATCAGGCTTCTGAGCCTGTTGGCTGTCAGGGCCTCACTGTGCCCCATAGGCACCATGGCAGCCCCTATGAAATCCACCAGGTGTCACCAGGCAGCATACAGGTAACAGGCCTGGAAGGTCCCCAAGAGCTGAGCTGGACATGCTCAGACACTCTGGGGCTCCTCGTTCAGTGGCACAAACTCCAGGACCCAGTGAGGGAAACGGGAACCCACCAGGCTGAGCAGTATGGCTAAATCCATTTACTCCATAATGAAAAGCAAAATAAACAGGAGTCATATCACCAGGGAGCCACAACCCCATCCCCACCTCCTTCCTCTGTCCTGTGCTATCAATAAATAAGACTCCCAGCCATAAATAATGATTAGAACCTCCTCCCCATATGCCAGCTCCAACCTCCATGAGGTACAATACAGGGGGTGGCCCTAACCCCTGGAATATACAAAATGTTACACAGATACTATATGTACACTGGGGAAGGGGGGCCACCCCAGCAGTCCGTTCCCTCGCCTGTTCTACAGTTAGCCCCACTGACCCGCCTCAGCTGCCTCTGAATAAGAAGACGGGAGCTCCCCTGAGGGAAAAGTTGCTTTGGTGAGAGTAGGGAGGCCATCAGGCCTCCTCCAAACAAACCAGCTCCACCAGCCTCTGGCTCTTCAATAACAAACATCACCGTCTAGGAATGTAAGGGCTCAGCCCTGGTCAAGGTGGCAAAGGGTCTGGTTGTCTGCCCCCCATTAGACAGGGATCTTGTCTTGCTACCCTAATGGTAAAGGGGTGACTGGGAAGGGGTGATAGGGACACGGTGGAGGTGAAGACTCCAGCCCTGCTTCTCCAGGCTTATGCTGACAGGGGCCTGCTTTTATTTATTTTTATCCTATGACTTTTTTAAAATCCCATAACTTGTTTTTCATAATACTATTTTTTAAATTTGTCATAAAATGTTATTCTACTTTTTTTCCACAACACTTTTTTTTGCCACAACGTTTCCACAACATTGTTTATCCCATAACCTTTTCATCCACAACTTTTTTATCCCATAACTTTGGTTTGTGTTCTTCTAATAAACACACTTGCATAGTTACAATTTTGTAAAAATAAAAACTGATGATCTCATGCCAAGCGTGCCCAGCATTTGCACAGTCTCAATACCTTTAACACCGTAGTTTTCAAGACACACAAAATTTTAAGGCAAAAACAGCACTTTGCAACAATTTCCTAACTTATTGCATTGAAGTAGCATCACAGTAGCAGTCAATAATGGCACTTTAGACAACAGTCTTTCAGCATTTCCATTATACATTCTGTTGACAGGAATTCATAAATTGGTAAAAGTCATTCTAAGAAAACTCGGCAAATAAAGCTTGGCATTGGAATTGGCATTTCTT